GTTCTTACCAATATGCGGACCAACATGCAGGATTCCAGATATATTCCAGGCAGAGCTCAAGGTGACAGAAAATTGTTCGAAATCGGTTATAAAAAAGTTTTTAAGAAGATCGAAGAACCTGTTAATATAAATGTAGTTGATTATAATAATTAATCTTCTATTAATAGAGGTCACACGAATACATACTTTGTCAAATATTCAATGTCATTATAGTTGTAGACCTTTTTGTATCCGACCTGTATCATCTTCTTCAGATTCTTTGGCTTTGTTGTGCTTATCACAGATTGCGGAATAAAACATTTAAATCCAATTTCCTTTTCAATGTAATCAATATGCTGTTTTTTATCTGGCGCTTTCAACGTTATGTTCTTGAAGTAATGCCGTATACCCAAACAGCATAGTTGAACTGCTACATCAGCATCAATACCAGATATATTCGATTGAATATAATCGTCTTTTACCTGAAATATCAATCACACATTCTCAATTACATTTAATTAACGTATATAATTTTTCCATTATTTTACCTGATCAAAGAAATAGAAGCAAGTCGTTTTATCTTCGTCGAATAATTCTTGAATTTTATGGGGCACATATCGCACGCGTAACTCGACACGCCACACTCCTGTGCTAACAGCTCTTCGACCTTGATGAGTATCTTTGTTTTCAGCAAGCTCAGCTTTCATGGGATCGTTGTTTGGACAATCAACATTCGAGCAACCAGGTGACTGAATGTGAGACAAAACCTTGTCCATCGACGTTGTTCTTGCTAACCATAGCACCTGTTAATTGTTTATTTATAGTTTTAGCAAACAGATTCCAATATCACATTCGTTAGACATACTTCTTTGGTTATTACGTTCAACATTCGACACGCATATCTCTGAATGCTGGGTGGTGGTTGTCCATCTTTCCCAAACTCCTCGACAGTTTTACGTATAATGTGGAAAACTGTTTCATCTTTATTGAAGACTATTGATTTAAAACTCTTGTTTGGCATATGTACATGAAGAACATACTCTTCAGAATGGGCTAAAAAATATATAAAATTATATTATCTTATAATTTATGTTAACATGAATTATTGAATATTTACTCACATTCATTGTTCTTATGCGGCTGACTGCTTTGGTTCTTGCGCTCTGCGGTGTTCATGTTCCAAATATATCGCACTGTAGGCGATTTTATTCAAAAATTCACCACCTATATATAATGTATGCAAACCAGACTTAAATTATTTATTTACAGACATATGTTCAATTCAGACATCGTCTGAAATCAACTCGATGCATCTTCTAAAGCGTAATTTTCTTTTATTAGAATAAGGTGCACGCAATTTATTTGATTTTGTTCTATTGCAAATTAACACACAAACCTAGAATATCAATTTGAAATTCAATAGTCTCTCTATCATACTGCTGTTGATTGATCCGAAAGTCGAATCTCTCGAAAATAATATATGCGTATGTCTTGTATTAATTTCTATATACACACATACATACATACAAGCACATACATATATAAAACTCTAATATGCAATATATACTCGCTCATTCAGTTTGTGCATTGTTTGTTTATGAAATCATCTATGTATATAATCGATTTGCAAACATATTGAACCGATTTATCATTCGACGAATTGCCTGAACTATTTAGTTATTTAATATTTGTGAAATATAAAAACAGGTATTACTTCCCCACACGTTCTTCTTCTTGTCTTTTTAATATTTCTATTCATAGGAGTGTCATCTGCTGTATATGGTCTGGAGTGCCATTCGCACAAAATCGGAGATGGTTATAGTGACGTCACAAATTGTATTGAAACTGGGTTTCATATTGAACGCAGACTTTAAATTTTTATGTTTCAAGTATCCAACAAGTAATTTAATATTTTTAGCATTAGTTACTATATTTACCTACATGATGTGAGCATCTATTTCAAAATGAAAAACATCGAT